TTTGTGGAACCCAACGGCCACGAGTGCTCTACATCACCCAATTTGCACGTGTTGTTTACGTGCTAGGTTTAAAAATTCGTCACACATTAGGGGTCCTATTGAGAGTATCCATACATGTGATTATAAGTAAGTGGACTACTAGGCAGATTACCAATTAATTTTACAGCAAAACTCCAACTTCTTCAAGTGGGAAGTGATCAACCACTAAAAATATAAACCCTGACGTTAATATACTTTATTATGTTAAAGGAAGCCAAACTGATTAGCACTAGTTGGTGTGAGTTGTGTTAGCTAGTCATCCATTCTCTTCTTTAAAAAGTTAAATATTGGAAATAAAATTTTCATTAAAGAACCCTAAGAAGGAACAACATGATCTCTTAAAGTTTTGTTAGCGCTTTAATCTTCCAATTCAGATCACACCATATGCATATATTAATTAAGCACTGTAATACACACACACACACACGCACACACGCACACACATACATATAGATACAGAAAGTACAGATCATGCTTTAATTTGCTTCTTTGATCATTTGATGAGTATTATATGCAAGTAGGTAGCTTAGAGAATTGGTGCTTGCTTGGGTGAGGGCATCAAAGAGACGAAGACCCAACAACACCAAGTCCACCGAGTGGGTTGGAACATGGACAGAGCCATGGGAGACTGAGGCACTAGTCGAACTGTGGAACCCATACTGTTGGGGGCGAGGAAGGTTCCGTGGGCTCCACTCCAAATGCGGCGAGACGCGGCTTTGCAAGTTCCCCTAGTGACTCCACCACTCACTCCTTTTCCCTCTCTTTTTTTCGTTTCTTTTATTTGGTGGCTGACGTCAAATATTCCCTCCAAAGAAACCATAGTTAAATATTTAGACCTCGTTTGTCAGCTTGGATTGCACTGACTATTTCTGTCGGATAGAATAAATAGCCACCGGATAGTACTGACTAAATTAGTCGGGTGTTTGGTGCAGTATCGGATTAGTGACCGTATTATTTATACTGTGTTTGATATTATACTATATAGGAGGCATCAAACTTTAAAAAAAAAAAAAATTTAAAAATGAAATCATTTTTTGTTCCCAGGTGTCTCCGCACCCCCCAAACACCCTCCCTCTCTCTCTCTTCTTCTTCCCCGACGGTAGAAGAATCCCAAATAATTGTTCCCCAACTCTCTCCGCCACACCCACCAAACTCCCTCCCTTTCTCTCCCATATTCTTCTTCCCCGACTAAATAATCCGGACGTTTTGGTTGGTTTTATTAAGCGGGTGTATACCGTATTATCCTATCCGACCGGTTAAATTAATCCGGTGCTTTTAGTACGAGTGAACGCCAAACACCTGGGTCCGTATAACTAATCATATCCGATCTTTTATCCGATTTTGCCAAACAGAGCCTTAGGAAATATGTGGAAAATAAAAGTAAAATTTGTGGTGGTGGTGCTGAAGTGGATCCCACCCACTCCCAAGACAGGAGGAGGAGGTAATGCTGATTAATGCTCAAGTGGATGGAATTGTATAAAGGAAAATGTGGAACTAAAATATCTAAATACAAAAATGCTACTGTTGTTATATATTTATATCATCATTTATATCATTTTTTTTTTAAAGATGAGATCCACATGCGTTAGCAAACCTTATCTTTATTAGAAAGATGGTACAAATATGTGATAAGAGTAGTATTACTCATCCAAATATGATTTTATTTAGCATTATAATTTAGAAATATCTACTCCTTACTTTAAGTTTTGGTGGTTTTAAGTTTTAACTAATCACTTGACTTTGTTGATGAGTTTACTACCTAATTAGTATATTAACTTGGGGTATCTCAAATTATGCTCGCTTTAAAATAGAATACGGCTATGCTATTGACACTCTTTATACAAGCTTTCAAATTTAGAGAGTACGATAAATTTTTTAGAGTATTAATATTAACTTATACACTAATATTATTAAACATACAAAACAAAATCAAAATAAGGAATTTTATTTGGGGAAGTGCTACCAACCTTTGTATTTGGATATTTTCACTTTTTTAATTGATACGTTTATTAAAAAATAAATAATAATAAATAAAAAAAAATTTGCTAGGAATTAACGATGAAAAATAGTAAATATAATTTCAAAGACATTAAAAGTCTTGTTTGTTGCATAACAAATGACATGTGTCATTTGAGGTAGTGAAAAGGTTCAAATCCAAAAGCTAGTGCAAAGGTTGCAAGTATTTCTATATTATTTATACAAGTAAAGGATTGTCCTGATAACTAAGGCATTTATCTTCAATTCATTGGGTTTTATATTGAAACACAACTCTTCTCAATAGTGTAAGTTATTGTAAAATATCACTGGTAATAAGACAATATGGCTTCATATTTATAGTACAGAAATGCTAAAAGGACCTTTTCAAACGTTCAACTCATTGGGTTTCATATTTAAACACAACTCTTATCAATAGCGTAAGTTATTGTAAAATATCTGTGATAAGACATTATGTCTTCCTATTTATATTAATAAAGAAATTCTAAAGGAACTTTATCAAAAGTAAGACTTTACATGGATCTTTGTCATCTCATATTTTTTACACAATATTTTATAACATTGACACAAAAAATAAATTAAACTGTGAGCATTAAAACTCATAAATAATTCCACTTGTAAAAGAGTCTCATTAGAACATCTTCAAAAAAGATGTCAAATCATAAATGAAATGTCATGTAATTAAATTTGAAAGTAGGAGTAAGCTTCAACCGATATGTTAATTCTATGTGGATTGACATATAAGTTTTCATATGTCAAATTTGATATATGAAAAAATATGATGTCAAATAATTTTTCATTATTTTGTTGTATGAATCTCATTAATGCACTAATTATATATCTTGAAAATTTATTTTTAAAATAGGTTCTACAAATATCATTATAACAAAAAAAATATATATCAATTCAAAAACGAAAAAAATTAATATTCTACATCAAGCATCAAATTAATATTTGATATTTATGTTTTGATATCTTTATTGAAATAGCATTTCACTCTCTTAATAATATAGTGATAGGACAGCCAAAATCGACGCTGACAATGGTCCGTACTATGTTGGCTTGCCATTGGGTGAAAGAGACGCACAAACTAGAAGCGTCGTAAGCAGTGGGTCCCGCCAAACACACCCTCTTTTGACTCCTTCTGCGTCTCTACAGTTTCGTTTCTGAGTTTCCCTCTGTCTATTAGATTAATATTTCTCTCACTTCCATACGCCCCTATCTGTTCTCCAAAAGCCGCCTCCGCCGAAAGCCGCCCACAACTCCATGTAGCCAGCCTCAACTTTTAAGCTTCATCTCATTGCCTTTGTGTAATTATGATTTTTGGATTATCTTTTTTTTTTTTTTCTTTTCTCTCTTCTTTTATTTGAACGATCATGATTAAGCTACGTTAATATTTTATATTAAATTTTTATACAAAAAAAAAAGATAAAATAGAGAATGTGAGAAAATAGAGTAATATTATTCATACCATATTTTTGTACCATATTTTCATACCACCTTAGGTGACATTTTATGTGAATAACTACATCATTTGAATTAATCAGATTTTTAAATTTAGTTTATTGTTTAATAAACTAATAATTAATTAAATGATAATTGTGGTATACGATGAGTCTTTCTTATTCATTTCTTTGGGTTTTGCAAATTTTTCAAATAATGTGACTGTCTATATCAGATGTTATCTAAGATGGTACAGAATGTGGTACAAAAACATGGTATGAATAGCAATACTCGAGAAAAGGGGATGGAAGAGTATGGAAAAATGAAAGGAAAGAATCCTACTCCATGATTTTTACCCTTGGCTATTCAGGTTTTACTGCAAATATCATGTGTTTTTTTTTTTTTTTTTACTGCGAATCTAGCATGATGATCATAGGTTAAAATAAGAATTTTACTAGTGATGAAATCAGCAGCTTCGTAGTTTGACTCGACGTAATAAGTTAGACTGTTTAACAGGTAAGTAATGTCTAATATTCTATCATAAGTACGTTGACCTGCAATCCTAAAAATCGTGGCGGTGATCGATGTTGCGTCGGAATGCAAGGTCTCATTCCATGTACTGAGATGAATGATGAGTTATATGCTTGATTGTTCATTTTTTTTACCCTTTGATGAATGATGACCGTTGTACGTAGGAGAAGAAAATTAATTGACCTAGGGTTTGAGAGTTGAATGAACGAAAAGGACCTGAGAATATTTTAGGAGTTCTCTCCAACTACGCAAGCATTCATGTAATACATAATTGTACTTGATCAATCAACTGCAATTCCTTAACCAAATTTTCGGTGTAGACCATTGGGTACAACTTAATTGATCATTCTAATTTCTAATTCCAAGTTAGAGTTTCTGCGTGTTGCAAACAATTAAACCCAAAACGTCAATCATCTACAACATTTTCGTTACACTATTGTTTATTAAGACACATGGAATTGAAAAAAAAATGGGGATTCTACCTCAAAGTACCGAATTCAATACCTAAATGCACTAGTTAAACCCATTCATTTTTCATTTCTCAATTAATGACTTTCCCAATTCAAAGCACGCAAGCGTCATAAGAGTAAAAATGTTGACACTCCTAACCATCTGCAATTCAAAGTGATATCTTATTTTCTTTACGCTCACATTACATAAACATGCATAATGTAAAAGGCGAGTGCTAAAATTCCAACCTCATTACCTACGCAAGAAGCGGATTGTTTTGGGATACACGTAAGAAGTGAATTCCCCTAGTAGATACAAATTGATTCAAAACCTCTCATTTCGTAATATAGCTTAAAATAATAACATCACTTTTAAATTTCTCTTGGGGCTTTAGGTTTCACCTAAATTATTCACCAAAATGTAATAAAGAGAGGACCAAATCAAAAGAAAGACCTAAAAAAAGGGTATAATCCCCTGCATTCGTTCATTCACAGCCCGCCAGAAAGTCTCTCGTCTCAGAATTCGGAAAGTAGAAACCGAAATTGGACAGAAAAGGATATAATTAGCATTAATTATATGAATATTTATTACTGTCACACAGACACAGAACTCTGAGATATAGATTAGCTAAAAACAATAAAACGTAATTAAGAAGCAGATTAAGGACCACCGACAAACTCTCATTTTTCTCACCCTTTCTTTATCTCCATAAACAGTAAGAACAAAAAAAGGAGAGAGAAATCCTGTGCCGGAGATCACCAAAACTCGCCGGACATGGATTCCGGGAAAAAAAAAACCCAAAGAGATAAAACTAGGGATATTACAGCAGAGAGTATATCCGCAGGCGTGACCGTCATATTCACCGACAAAAAAATGGCGGAAGGGAAGGCTCCTCAGGGGAACAAGTTGAGAAGCTTTCTCTCCGGTCCCACGGCGTAAGAGGACGGATGGTGATCCACCAAGCCGCTCTCGAAGCACGTTGTGACGCCGGACTCCTCCGAGTTCATGGACGGGGTTCCGGGTCGTCGGGTCTCGGGTTTGGGCTTGGGTTTGAAAGACAGGGTTGGGGTCAGCCGGAGATCCAGATCCGCTTGGTGCTGGAGTACCTTGGTGGACGACTCGTCATCGGCTGTGGACCGCTTGCGTTTCGGCGAGGCCCTGGCGGACCGGGAGGAGGAACCGGAGTTGTGACTCGGATCTCGGAGCCTCCACATGTCCGTACAGTTGATGACGCCGCCGATGTCGGCCTCAGAGGCCTCGTCGGGAGTGGACCTTCCGCCGAGGAGCTCGGGAATCGGCCGGAGCGTGCCGCCGAGGAGGACGGTTTCGACGGCGGCCTGGCAGACGTGCCAGTTGCCGGTCCAGAGCAGCCCAACCGCTCCGTTGACCGGATTGACCGTTCGGCCGCAGGCTTCAAACAACAAGGACTGAAACAGAACTGAAAACAAACGAACAAAAATCAGAAACGAAAACATGGGGAAACGGAGTCGTGAAAACGAAGGGTATAATCGGAAAAATAACGAACCGGGTCGTTGGGAATCGGGGACGGCGGAGATGAAGGACATGAGGCCGGCGCGGCCAAAGAACTTGGCGACGAAGACGGTGGCGTGGCCTTGGGCTTCGGGGGTTTCGATCCACTGGAGGCAGGGGCGGAGCATGCATGACTCGCTGCAGCCCTTTCGGAGAACTCGACAGCCGTTGCAACTCATGATAATAATCCTTGTTCTTGTCCTTCGGAGATGTCTGCTTGTGGTGTTGAATCACTCAAAATTTCATGAGATATCTTTCAGTCCAAGGAAAGTACAGAGAGAAACAGAGAGACTGGGGGAGAGGGAGTGGGGGAGAGAGAGAGCAGGGGAAATTAAACTAAGCTGGCCAAGGAGGGCTGGGGAGGGTGTTATATAAGTGGAGTGGAGAGAGAGAGAAAGAGTGAGGTGGTGTGTTGAGAAGTGGGGGTGTTTGGGTACGGGTGTGAAGAGAGAGAGAGAGAGAGATGAGGAGATTCCAAGGAGTTGGGCGAGAGCGGCTCCGTGTTTCCGCGCAGGATGTTCCTCCGCCGTTGGATTCTTTGCTTTTGATTGTGGGAACACTAGAGAGAGGAACGTGGATTATATTGTGATGGGATTGGATAATGGGTAATGGTTGATGTTAGAGACTCAGAGACTGTATATTTAAATCATAATTTGTAAAATTACATCGATTGATAGTTACATTTTTGTTTAAATATTTTTAAAAAATAAATTTAACCAACAACCGCTACATTATATAATCTATAAATTAAAAAAGCCACTAGTTGCTTTTCTTTTCATTTCATTTTTGGACCCTTTGATTTGCCCTTTGGCCTTTGGCTTTTCTTTTTATAATCTTCCACTTGCAACAAAGGGTTGCGTCCCTCACAAAATAAACAAAACCAATAATAAAAAATGTATGGATAATTGGATTGGATTCTTCGTTTAACAATTTAAATGAAGGGAAAATAATTTCCAACCGCTCTTTCTATACTTTTCTTTATTTTTGAATTTGGATTACATAAATTAAAAAAGAATTGAGAAATATAAATAATAGAGATGTGCAAAAAGAGAAAATAAGTGTGTGGAGATCATTTCGTCATTGTTATTTTTTTCTCTTAAAAAGAGAACAACTGGTGACAAGTTACAATTATCTACTAATTTTGTCATTGTTGACGTTCAAGAAAAGAACATTGCTCGACTCTTCACTTGCAAAGCATATTTTTGAGTCATTACTTGCAAATTGCATTTTTCAATCATTATCCGCAATCCAAGATTTAATATACACCAATAAATAATAGATTAAAACTAAAATTTTGAATCGTATGTCGAATTGTGATTTGCAATTAGAAAGCCAAACATTTGTCAAATCATAATAATTAATTGTGATTAGTTTCATTATTATCAAGAGAATGAAATGGATTGGTCCATGACTGATTCCATTGTAATTGTATGGCATGGGGTGCACATGTAGGGATAATATTTAACCATAGCATCTAATTAGTTAATTAGAGAAGATGATTAATTATTGCCTATTTATAAAATAATATTAGATGGCATTTGGTAGTGGGGGAGGTCGAAAGGGATATGGTATTTTAAAAGGGGATTAATCATTGAGGGCTTTGCTTTGTGCGAGATCAGGAAGCAGAGACACACAAATAAGCAATATCGGCATTGTTTAGGGTTTCGACGAGTTTTTGAAAGCTGCAATTAAAATTAAGCATGTATGACATTGCCTGGGTGGGGGTGGTATGGGTGCAAGTCAGCACTCAGGGTTCGTATTTTGGTGTCACGCTACCAAACATGGAGTAACATGGAGGGAGGGAGGTGCATATGATTTAGATTCTCTCAAGCTTTAAAATCTTTTCTGTCTTCCATAAATTTTAAAGTCACTTTATTCTTTTTGAGGTTTCAAGTAATAACAAACATTTAAATGAGTTTTTAAGAACATCTTGGAGTCTTTATATAGGGACAACTACCGTATAAAATGAGTATAAAACAAATATAGGGACAAAATGAATCTTTAATGGATCGGAAAGTGAGTCCCTAAAGTATAGGAACTTGCCGAATACTTGGTGTATGTACCCACATATAGGGACTCTATAAAGACTCTATAGGGATTGAAATGGTGGACCCAATAGGACAATTTAAGTGGAAAAACAGGCGTAGATCTTATTCACATGGCATTGTCTTTTTTTTCTTTTCTTTTTAACCGTTTAAAATGGAGGGTCCAGATTGATTCTTGCTTTTCAAATTTTTTTACCATTGAAAGATCACCGGTTTCAATTAAATAACTGTTTCAATTTAGGTTGCCTTCTCATGTTGGTTTTCAAATTGTTTTGTTTTCTCTTTTCATAATACCCCCGTTGAAATATTAATATTTTCAATTTGGGTTACTCTTTCATTTTGTTCTCTCATCATTCCTATAAGTACCAAATTATCTAACCAAAACTTACCACAACTTCATCTTCACTCGTACTCAATTCACTCATTCTAATTACGTTATTGTGAAGAAAAAAATTAGTGTCAGAATTAGAATTTTCTTTGGTAAAAATGTTCACAAAAATATTTTACGAGAACGTAATGTTAACATAAACAAAAAATGCGCACCTAATCAAATTATCACATAAAATTGTAAAAACTTCAAATTTAGGGATTCTACTATAAAGACTCTCCCATTGGTGGCAATATTCCTTTAGGAACACAAAAATTCCCCTTAAATCCTTAAATGAATACTCAAAATTGGTGTTAGGAGTCATTGGAAATGCTTTAAGTAGTTGTTTGGACCTGAAATATAGGATTTGGACCGCAGAAAGATAACTAGTTGGAAGGCTATGAGTCTCGACCCAATGTTGATTTCTCAGACGAGTTGGGTTTCAACCCCAAAAAAAAACATGATTTGACCGAGTCTTAATATAAGAGGGTTGCTAAGGGATTAGACTTAGATATGGCTCGGCCAAGTCCTTGTTGAATTAAATTTACCAAAGATCATGTTAAGTTCTGATAAGATTTGAATTATTCCAGGAATCGAAACCTATAGTTTCAAGTGCCCACCCCTTTTTGGAATTAAGATTGGATTATAGAATATCATTGTCAATAAAAATAACCTAGGGATATGATACTTGAGTGAAGCAAATTCGACCAAGATTCTAGGTGGGAATTCTTTATGATGATCTTAGAGGACATTAATATAAATTTTATGAGATTAAATATAGTACTCTTCAACACATGAACTTTGACTCGAGTGGGTGTTTGGTGGAATGGGTTAATTAAGGGTTAAATCTATGTAATATCAATCTTGATACAAGGAAAACCAATATGTCAAATATATTGAAGGATCAACTATCTAGAAAATCTAACATTATTAGTTGGTCTAATTAAATATCCAGTCTCTACTTTATTGAAGTCGTTCTTAAGTTCAAATCTCATAAAAGATAGTTGTTTAAAAAAAAAAAAAAAAAACTAATTAAAAATAAATAAATATTAGGAAATTCTTAATTCTTCTATATCGGGAAGGGTGAAGTTAAAATGCTTAAACTTGCACGCACTTCAATCCAAAGAAGTTTACAAAATAAAAAACTTTGGTAAGATGCATGCATGCATGATAGCAGCTGGCATGTTTATATATCCTCCTACACGTAACACTGCGCTTTTCCCATCCATCATGTTTTAAGTGCGACGTTTTATCTTAAAAGACCTAACTTAAGACTTACAACTTCTATATTTATGATGGAACAATTATACTTGAATCTTGATCCATAATTTGTTACAATTACGAATGGGAAGTGTTATTAGTATTCTAAAAATCTCATTCTACACTTCCTATAAGTGTATTTTTTCTTTCCTAATATAAAAAGTTTAGAATGTAGAATGTGATTTTTAAAGTACTAATAACAATTCTCTTACGAATAAGATATATACCAAAACAAACTTTCAATTTTGTATATATGCTGTTATTTAATTGACTTTGTTCTCTTCAAAACGCAGTGCCTTCTTCGTCAAGGTTTCCGCATCATCGCCGCAGCCTCTAAAAAGGTAAGGGCATCAAATTATAACATGTAGAAACATATATAATAGTTCTCTCCTTAAAATATTTAGAAGAAAAAAAGGTTCATTTCATTTAGAAGAAGAAAGCATCTAATTCGAAACTAAAAATGTTTTGTTTCATCAGTTTGAAATTGAATAATATAAGAATTCCACTTCTCCGATTATACCGTGAGTTGGTTGCACACTTATCATTCTGACATTTTGACATCAACTTGAGTCATAACACACCCTCCATCCATAACCCAGCTTTTAAGTAGAATTAATTTTTCTGTAATTAGCCAAATTTAGCTAAAAGAAAGCTTGGATCCTCAAATATGGATGAGGAGGAGTTCCTCCTCAAGATACTTTGTGATTATTCTAAATCACTCTCTAACTATTATCTCTATAAAAATAAATTTAAAATAAGATCATTTAGTCAATCAGCTGTAGCAAATAGATAGATAATTCATAATACTTTTACGATATCTGACCAAATGAACGATAACTATCTAAATTGTTTTTCGTTATTTGGACCTTGTTTAATGAATGTTCTCTTAACAAAGAAAAAGACTTGATTCCCCCTACGGCTTTGGTCCTTTGGTGGGGTATCACATCAGCACAGACCACAATTTGTTCAGTATATTTATGGCACAAAATCCAGTTCTAGCTACCAACAAAATGATCAATTTATTATTGTCCTCAGTCGAGATACGTATCTTTTTATGAAACATTTTTCTGCACAAAGGATCTGCACTGTTTTGGAAAAATCTACGTAGCTGAGCTGGTATAAATGATCAATGATCAATTGCTTCGATGAGATTAGCCTAGAAAAGGGGCACCAGTTGGTATTTGTACTCCTGCAGGCAGAGGGCACCTGCGCAAGCCATGCATTTTCCATGAGGGGTTCTACACAGATGACCCCAAATGACCACTACCCTTTACACCACTCAATCTCCTATTGATCTCACCCGGTGTAACAACGGTTTTAATCATGAATCATGACGCTTTACCGAAGTGCATTGCATCATAGGAGAAGAACAAAAAAAATGGTGCTCGCGTCACTTGTCTTGTTGGACACCGCTTACAACCACATGAGATCTTTTAAATTTTTGTCTCACATAGTCTCACGTTAGTTTCACTTAATGTGAAAACTACCATAATCAAGTGATCATGTTGAGGTGCATTACATAATTAACAAAAATAAAAAGTACGGAGCCTGACAACATTATCCATCAAATACCTCTCATAACAGTATTAAACCTCTTATATTTAGTCTCACACTATCTCAGACCGATCTCACTCGAGATAAGAACTATCTTAGTCAAC